CGGGCGCAGCGGCAGGTGGTGGCGGGAGGTGACTCCGAGAAGCGACCCTTGTGCTGTGGGGTATTGTCCTAAAATCTTCAGGAGAAAGTGGAAACCATCAGATGTAAAATAAAGGCAGCCGGGGCATAGTCAAAGTATTATTCATCCTCAGACAAGTGAAATTGTCCTCTTTTAGGAATTAAGTTACAGATTTATGGGTTTATAATCAGCTGGAAAGATTAAGTTGAAAAGTTACGTAGTTCGAATTCTGCTAGTGATCACGGTGCCACCTGGAGAGTAACAGTGTGTGGGGGGGAGGAGATGCAAATTCTGTCACAGACGCGATGTGTAAAGATAATTTGCATAATGCTTTTAAAACTAAACTTACTCCCAAGTGGGGGCCTTTACTCGGTGCCTAATTCATAGTAAGTTTTCACAAGGTTTTAGTTATTAATATAAAACTAAGCAACAGAAATTTTGGGTTTTTTTCCTGGTTTGCTAAAGAAAAATCATGTATGAGAACTTAGTGTTATGGGCATTATGTGTCTGTCCCCCTGAAGCCAGTGAGCCGTATGCCTCTGAATTTCCCTCTAAACCTAAACCGGGTGACCTGTGTGATGTGTGTATCTGTGTACTTGAATATGCACCCATAGGAATACGTGCATGAAGATTTTAACACTCGAGCGGTCGCTGCCTGAAATATGAGGTCAGTAGGAACCACACACTCATTTTTGTCTTAAAGACCAAATGGAAAAAGAGTTCATTCTGCTGTGAGAACATCCATTGCGTTTACACTCAGGGGAACATACCCTAGAATGACATCACAAGAAATAAAATCAGCTTGAGGAAACAGCTCTCGCAGTAAGTCATGCCACGCAAGGAGGAGATGGCTGATAATTCGTAGGGCCACAGTCCTAAGGCTAAACCGTTAGTATATGCAAAGCATGACCCGCGAGGGGCTGATATTCACTCAGCTGCTGAAGGCAGTTATTAAACTCACCATGTTCTGGAGGCTGCAGTTACAGAACAGAAAGAATATTCTAGCCTAAGGGAATCCTGGGTCATTTTCTGTGGGGACAGATGAGGGATTTGAATGGCGTCTGCTACTAACGATAGAAGGAACATTCCAGAAATAGCAAGTCCTCCCTTTAGAGCTGTTATGTCATAGGCAGGAGAATCCCTGACATCAAAGAAATATTGCTGCTTCCTGCTTTGCAGAGGCCAGCCTGACGTTCCCTGGGGGCAGGACGCCTGGCTGCACTGGGCAGTGCCGGGTTCAGCAGCTCGAGTTCACCCCGCGCACATTCTGCACCCGTCCACTCCACCTTCTGTTCTCTGGCAGCTGTCTTTGCCATGTACATTAAAAGCAGATGTGGAAATCGCAAAGCACTGTCAGTTTTACTGCCGTGCATAATCAGCAGCTGGGCTGTATGTTACAGAGACAGCCAACCCAATCTCATGCTTTCCTGGTACTGTAAAACCCTTTTTGAGTTTCTAAGACATTTTCCCAGTGAGAGAAAATGCTATACTTTAACCGTGTTGATCATGGCAATTGCAACCACATATATATTTTTTTTCCAGCTTCCATATGAATGATGTATGTGTATATGTGTTTGATATAGTTACTGAGTTATCTGCAAATCTGTACTACTAATTTGTTTAAAAACATGTTTTGGATCCATATGTGATTATTTCATACTAGAGATCAAATCGTGTAGCAGATTTATTCATTTATATAATCTATGTGTATGTGTAGATGTGTGTGACTGAAATATTTTGTACACATTTTATTATATGATGCTCAATATTATGTGTGATTTCATATATACACATGTATATTCCTATGTTTTTATTCTTTTGCCATTTTTTTGTGCAAGAAAAAACATACCGTAGATTTTTTTCTACATCTCATAATTTTTACCAAAACACTGATAGTAGGTTTTATTTTCCTCATATTTCAGAAACAGAAACTGAGACACAGAGAAACAAAATAACTTTACAAGGCCCAGAAAGCCTATCAGTGGCAGAAACAGAATTTAATCCCAATCTGTAAAGCTTTTAATCACTAAGCTACACATTGTTGTCTTTATGGATACACATATACAGAACATTGCTATCTCTTGGGGAGAGCTACTTCAGCCCTGGCATGTAGATGTTATTTTGTATGGTTTGACAAAATAATTTAATTTGAAAACTATGGAGACCAATAATATTCCAACTATCACTTTGCTTTAACTATATTTTTATTGATTGCTTTTAAACTTCTTAAAATTTAACTACGAGAATGGATTACAGCATAAAAGTGTGTCTATAAACCATCAATTTATAATGTTCTAATCTATAATGTAACAGCGAAGTAATTTAAATTCCCTTTATTTTATTTAGAGCTTTTGAGAAAAGTACGCCTGTTGAGACCTAGATAAGTAATTTAGGTGCCAAATCCGTATTTTTTTCACAAAGTTTATTTCTTCTGGGGTAAATCTGCCCCTTAAGAGCCAACAACCTGGTGGAGGAAATATATCTAAAAAAGGGCTGGAATCCAGTGAGATAAAAGCCCTTGAGGAGAGAATGCCCTCGGGCATATAGAGAAAGACACCACTAACCATACCTGAAAAAAGATAGTAAAGCTTCCAAAGGAGGCCATGCTTCAGTCATCTTAAAATAACTGAATAGTATTAATAATAACGGTGTAAAATTATTACTAACCTAAATGGCTAATAATAGGAAAAGATTTGGGAAAACATTATAAAGACATTAAAAATATTGTCTTCCCAAACATGTATGAAAACATGTATGATCTGTTATTCGTTATGAAGGATACGACTCAACTTCTCTATATAATAATACCTCAGTTATATAAAATAATAAATATGCATGCATTAAAAGTAAAGGAAACTCACCAATTTGAGTAGCGCGTTATGGGCAATTTAAATTCTATTCCTTACCTATTTTGTAAGTAAACCTGAATTTGTCTTTAACGTGAACAGAATAATTTCTGTTTTTTTAGAGGGGGAGAATTGTGACTAACGGTGCAGGTGATGGAGACTGGGTTTTACCTTCTGTGTAAGACAGGAAGGCACAGAAACCTGAGCAATAGCTCAATTTAAAGGATTAGAAAGCAGAGCCATAAACTGAGGAAAAGAACAGTAGAGTGAGAACCAGGGGGATATAGTGTCACATCCAAGAAAAGAAGGGTTGTTAGCAATATCAAATGCGACCTTGACCTTGAGTTCCCGCGCAGTGAGGCCTGCGGAAGCCCCTTGTATATAGAGATGGGGAGGTCAGAGGGGAACCCCTGAGGCTGTCAGAGAACACGTGGCACCTGAAAGGGCTTTGGAACCAGGGAAGGCCAGTCAATACTTAAGCAATTTGACTAAACCTCCTAGGGATATTTTGTTTAGTTTGAATTGATGTTCATTAATCAATAACATATATATTAAAGTATTACCAGCATTCAATAAAAATGAACCAATGTGTATGACACACACATGGTCAATATATATTGTCATATTTATATGTAAATGTATAAATATACTATATATATATATATATATATATATATTTGTTTTTTTTTTAAATTCAGGCAGGAAAGTGGAGCTCCTGCCAGCTATTTCAGTAGAGGGGCTTCATGTGAGGGATGAGTTGAACAGATGTGGAAGGTGACACAGAAATGAGAAAGCTGTGTCCCCCCCCCAGGGCTATACTGGCCTAAGAAGAAAGTGGTGTTATACTAAGTCAGGAGGTGGCCCGGCCAGAGCGGG